CAAATGTTTTGAGAATGATGAGGGCAATGAATGTACAAATGTGCTTTACACAATTGATGTATGTATGGATTGTGATAAGAGTTGTATGAGCTCCTAATAAAACTATAAAAAATAAAATACTATCATTATAAAAAAAATTAGAATGATTTTGTATTCAGGTTTTGAAGTAATTGACCTTCAAGTTATTTCCCTTATACTCAGAAGCTTGGGACTTGTTTTATTCAATTTTTTGCTACTTTTTTTAATGGTGGAGACCCTTGAAAATAACAAACAAAAAAATTTTTAGTAGAAATTAGTGAAAAATAATTGGATACACACTTCTTATTCTCACTCTTTCTGGATAAGTAGTTTTGATTCTTTGCATATTAAATATGGCATATTAATTATTTTAAAGTGTTTCTATATTATATTATATAACATTGTAATAAACACTTGTATACTTAATATTAAGGAGCCCTGGTGGTAGTCTTAGGAAAGCATTGCACTATTAATCACAGGTTGGTAGTTCAAACCCACCGGCCCTCATTTGGAGAAAGATGGAACTATCTGCTCCCATAAAGATTTCTAACCTCAGAGACCCTATATAGGGTTGCTATGGGTTGGAATAGACTTGGTGGCAATAGGTATACTTGAAATTATGCCTTATATGAAATATGTCGTTGTTTTGGGTTGCTGCTGAATTGAGTGGGCTTCATAGCAATCCCGAGTGTGCAGAGTAGAACTGCTCCATGGGACTACCAAGCTATGATCTTCCAGAAATGCATTACCAGGCCTGTCTTCTGAGGCACCGCTGGGGGATTTGAACTGCCAACCTTTAAGCTTGCAGACAAGTACTTAACCATATGTGCCAGGGACACAATATATTTAAATTACATAGATATATAATTATGCAACTAATTATACATTTATATACACGTATAAACTACAAGTTACATATATATTGCATTAAAACTAGTATGTATAACAAATTTCTTGATGGCTTTGTACCATTAAATATGTTAAATTTATTGAAATGAATTACTTTAAAAACCTTCTATGCTCTAAACATGCATATTGAATAATACATTTTATAAAGAAAACTTATCTGAGATGGTTTCTGAGTGAAATTGTTTTTGGTTACAGAATTTCTACAAGTGTGAGAGAATTAGAAAACTTCAGAAACTTGTTGCAAAATATTCATTAAAGAAAACAAGGTAAAATGTGCCTGTTTCTGGACAATGGAGGCCAAAGAATGGAATTTCATTCAAAAGCATAATAGCAATGATAGTCTTAAGCCAAACCTTTTATATAAAGCTGCATTTGTAAGAGGAGATCTATATTGTTTTAGATAATCACCTTTTGTAATTGTGTTAAGTCTTTGTATAATATCGTGAGTAAAAGTAACACTTTGATAATGTGGCTAAAAGTTTAATGTTGAATAAAATCAGGATTATCAAATTCATATTTGGTAAACTAAGTGAAAGCTATGTTAATTCTAAGTAGAATTTTGTCAGAAGATATTAATAAAACTGGCCCATGTGACCAGTATTTAATAGGAAAGTGCTAGGGAGTCTCATGAAAAACCCATAATTAATAGTCTGGAATTTTAAAACTACATTCTGGGTGCCACATGTTGCATTTGAAGAAAAGAATGATAAGTTAAATTGTAATTTTAGATAAACATTGAGGAAGTGTTTAGTGTAAGTAAGTCCCATGCAATATTTGAGATATACTTATACTAAAAAAGTATTCATTTTTTAAAGTTGAAGTAAAAATTTAACTGGGAGAACCTGTAGTTATCTGGTAATCCCAAGCAGTACATTGGTATGAAACACCTCACTCTTAATATTATGTTACTGTCAATATTTTGATCAAGCTGTTTTGGTGTGTCACATACTTTAATAACAAAAGCAAATAAGTAATTTCTAAACAATGTGAAAAGTTTACTAGATTTATATATTTATTCTCATAATATATTCCCTAAAACTGAATATAATTTTGGAGGAACATTTTAATTTTAATATAATTTCAAACTTTCAGAAAAGCTCTAAGAGTAGTACAAAGATAAATCTTTTACTTAGATTCATCACCTGTTCATCTTTATTGTGGTCTCTGTATAAAAACACACACACACACACACACACACATCTCCTCCCCACAGTTATAAGTATGCTTTCTCCTTGAGCCCTAAACACATCAGTATGTAATACCAAGTATGTATTTTTAAAATGATATTAATAAAAATACACAAAAAAGAAAAACAAACCTGGTACTAGGATAACACTAGATCTTAGAATAAGGAACTATTTGGAGTTCCATTCTTCAATTCTATTTTGAGTTTTGCTGCTCTGTCTATACTTGATCTGTATAGTAATAGGGCATTCAGGATTTTAAATATAAAAATTATTATTATTATGAGATTCATCACTTTGGTCTCCTTAAAACTACACTGTAATGTTGGTTTTCTAGTGATAGCTCTTCAGTGATAAAATATTTGAGGACATTTAGGAATTCATATCACATGGAAATTGTAGGGAAAAGGAAATTGTATACCTCAAAATATGTACCCTCTTTTTGTATGTCTTAGAAGGTATCCCATGTTGAGATGTCACATTATTAATAGAGCAGGGGTTATTTATATAAAGGTTTAGAAAATGCCACTTTATTCTGCTGTAAACTTTTCCCTGCCAGGTGCCCCCAGGGTCTAGTATAATTTCAAGCACATTGTGGGTATACGGTAAATTTTGTCACTGAATGTATGAATATGTATCCAGTATTTGAAATGAATGCTCAAAGAGCAAAATTTAACAATGTGTCCCACTTTTCTTTCCCATTTTACCTTCTTTGAATACAACAGGAGAAGAGAGACATTAGCCCACCTAGTCAATCCTCTTGGAGACCCAGAGGACTGTGGCATACCACCAAATGTAAATGTTTGAGGATATTTGTAGGACTCTGAGGTAGATGAGTTCAAATTGTAATTTTGTCTGTACACTTTGCAAGCCTTCATTTTATTTTCTCAGGAACCAAGCTCTTTGAAAGAATATTTCTACCTTCATTTTTTCACTTTCTGCTTGGTCCTTAACTAAAATCTGGCTTCTGTTCCCAAAGTTCTTATGAATCCCTTCCTGTAGTGTAAAGCCTAAAATCCTTATTCTAAATCCACAGATAGGTTCATTTTGCCATTTTTTGTTTCTGCATATTGTTCACAACTCTCTCTCCAAGTTCTTTATTCCTTTACTTTGCTGCCCCATCTGTGCTTGATCTGAATAGTAATAGGGCATATTTACAGTTTGTGTGTGTTTCAATGAGATTCATCACTTTGGCCTAAGACTGCACTGTAATGTTGCAAGGTTTTCATTTAACTTATTCCTGTTTCTTTTCTTTTCAAACCATTTTCATTTATTTTTTAAATGTAATTTTCAGGCTTCCATCCTTGCTGTTCTCTTTAGTAATCCCAATCTGATAACTTCTAAATTGTTTCTTTAGCCCAGACTTCTCAATCTCATCCACCTACTGCTTCTCTTCACTTGGCTGTTCTACAGAAACCATTCTCCCCCACACCTGGTGTGTTTATGTTCCTTACTTTGGTTAATTTCAGGACCCTTATCTTCTAAATTTATTAAACTCACTCCATCCTCTCCGAAATACCACCATCTCTCCATTTTCATTGCTCTTTTCTGAATCGCTACACTTAGTTGTCTTCTTATACCCGACTATCTCTTCTTTGTTGTGCCCGGATGTGACCAGAGTGGGCTTTCTGGAAGTATGCTAACAATGTTACTCCCTGCTTAATACTCGTCAGTGACATGCTCATGCACCTTTGCATAGTGCACCCAAAATTCTGTTTACCCCAACAATGCTCCGAAAGAACACTCGGTTCTCCAAATGCACCAGAGTGCATTCTGTCTTCTTTGCTTCAAGTGAACTAGTCTTCCTTCCCCCTGTGGAAGATTGCTTTCCTGCAGATCCAGATTTATCATATCTGTTGAAAGCTCTCTTGCTCCATTTAAGGAGAGTCGTCTGATTTCCTCTTTTGTGCCACCACTGTAATTAGAACCTACCTCTATTGTATGACTTATTATTGTACTGTATAATTTTCATTTTTTTTTACAGCCTCCTGTACTAGAATGTGAGCTCCTTAAGAGCAGGAACAAGAACTTTACTCATTTTTACATCTCCTTAGCATAGCTTTTGGCACATGAACAGTTAATAAATATCTGTTGAATAAATTGCTTTTAAAGCGACAATTTTATTAGTCACACCTTCATTCAGATATTCTTTACAGCAAGAGTCAGTAGACTCCCAGGGAACTGTGGGCTTTATAAGATCAATAAAGCTTCTGAAATTGTATTCAAAACTTGTTGTGCTTTTTTCGGGGTGGGTTGGGGGGCACCTAAAAGGAATCTATTTTGGGAAAAGCAACACAAGCTAAGTTTTCTTTTAAGAAAAGGCACCATTGTGGAGGAGTTTGGTGAGTAATCAACGAATAGCTGCCTAGGATTTGAGCTACTTAGATTGATTGCTGTTTAAGACTGGGTGGGGAATGGAAAGGGTGTTAGCTTCATATATGAATAAGCATGCATTAGCTAATGTTTTATTGGTGTTTTAGAATACAGAAAGTGCCTGGGTTATGAATGTCCAACTTTTTAGGAACAATTCACACCTGCCCTTTAATGTTTTGTATATCTATCCTCATTTTGAAATGATTGAACTAACCCCTACTTGCAACAAATTCATCATCACCTTCACTTGTTACATGTGCAGTTTTTAAATCATTTAAAAGCTTGAGCCTTTTCTTGCACTAAAGTGAGGATAAATAAGAATCGTTTACACCTGTTCTGCCTTTCCTATAAATTCTTAAAGACACAGCTAGGAAAGGGTCTTGTTCATAATGTGGAGACTGCTTATATATGGCGTTTTCTATCAAAATGGTGTGTATTACTAAATGATGTGGTGTTCAGATGTAAGTAATCATGAGATCACGAAAAGCAAATTCTCATTTGTAACTCCTGAGATTTTCTCTTTCCTGTTATAGCACTAGGATCCTTATCCTTATATAGTTAAAAAAAAATGCAGTTGGTATAGTCCATTAAGAGATTAAGAAAACCAAACTTCCAGATAAAAGCACAAACACTTTTATTTTTAACAGTAGTGTTTTGTTATAATGTAGTGAAACAACAAATAAATACATTCATTGGCCACAGCTATACTTTACAACCAGTTTGAAACTGATTATATAGCTGAGAAACACTGTTAAACAATAAAAAAGGCAGCTATACATAAAAAAGCCACTTTAGCTATAAATTACATTTTCCATAAAACTGCAACCAGCTATAATGAGTGATAAAAGTTTCAAAATTAATGATCACTGAAATGAAATGATAAAAACAAACACTGCTAATCACTGTAGAAATTTACATTTAAGCAATGATACTTGCTTTTGTAATTAATGAGTCAACAGGAAGGTGTGAAATCGTCATCATGTGCTTCAGTGCAGGATGAACAGGGATTCAGTAGCCCTTTGATTTTACAAACAACTCCTTCCTTTGAGACCAAACTTAAAGTGCTCCTAGTGCTTTGGAATTTTTAAGCAAAAATTGGGCCAAAAGCTTATCTGTCTTTTTCTTTGGTGATGTATTGTGGGAGATGTATTTAAGAAGACAAATGCAAGAATTCAGGTACTTATTGATAAGAATAAACTTCACAAATCTTAAATTTGAAGTCAACTATTGCAGCTAAAAGAACCAGGTAACATCATCTGAAATATTTTTTAAGGTAATCTTTGCGTTTTTGGTCAAATAAAAACATTATCTAGGGAAGCCTTAGTAGAACAAATTTACTTTATCACCTTGAACCCCAAGGATTAAAGACCACACAGATCCTGTCAGGTAACGCTAGAAGATCTCTAACATTATTAGCAAAAGAAACAGTCAGCATCCTGGAAAAGAAAATCTAATTATTGAAGTTGCAATTAAGGTCATGCTATGTGCCATGTTGTTAATAGCAAGATTAACTCCTGGACTATACATTTTCTAGCCATTTGGATACAGTGGGGATTTGTTATAGATAAGCCTAAGCTATAAATTTATGCTTCTGATTGAATTTAAAATAATTTTGTGAAAATAAAAATAAATAAAAATTTAAAGAAATAACATGTCAAGAAATTATAAAAAGAAGAAATTTCTTTTGCTCTATCAGCTTCTCAAAAGATAAAAATCATTAAATATTCCATTTATTCCTCAGCATTTTACCTACTGTATTTTTAGTGAAGTTACTGTATCGGTTATTTAAAAGTTTAAAATATTTTAATTAAGGGTAAAAATAAAACAAAATTTTCTAATCAGAGTAGAAGCCAGAAATGGACAGTTGTATTAGTGTCATTCTGTAGAAACAGATCAGCAATGGTAGAGTTCAGTTGTCTTTTAGCATCCTGTGATAAAGTTCCAGTGTTTCCTGGTGCATTGGCATCTTGAGGTATTCAGCATCTACTTATTTCCATGTAGACACAGGTAGAAAGTGCATTCACAATTCTCTATTAGCTTAGCCTGTCATATTTTTTTAGATTTGGAATAAGACATTCAAGGTATTTGATAATAAGACAACAAGACATTTTTAAGATAATTCTGAAGTATTCCAATGTCATTACCTACTGGTTTCATACTTACCTAGTTAGTACCATTACTTTACATGATTTTACTCATTTAATCTAGTGCTGGAATTAATTTGAATTAAATCTAATTTGGCTTTGCCCATATATAAGATAAAAATGTGAGTAAACTAGAGATGGAATTTTATGTCTTACAAAGCATTGCACTTGATTTCACTGCAGTACTGTATCATGATTTCATTTACCTGAGGACAATCCTGCATCAATAGGTAAGCTCAGCAATAGTTTGTTTGAGCTAAATAGAATGATTTTAAAAACGTATCCAAGTTTTAACTTAGACTCATACATTTTATGAATAATTCTTAAATGCATCTGTAAACATGTTTAGTCCCAAGAATTTCTACCAAAATGTCTCTATCTAAAACTCACGAGTGCTTTCTTGAGGAATCATGCTTTAACTCTACTACGTATATCTTAATCTTACAAAATAATCACTTGACCAATTTGACTCGAAAGTAGCAACATGATTCTCAAGGGGCTACTTTCTTTTTGAAGAAATGACGGTGGCTTCCCAAAGAACATTGCTGGATATTGTGAGGAATCGCTAATAGCATCTATTTAAAATAACTTCTTAAATATTTTCCGTTGGCATTTTAAGGTCATGCTCAAAAGAACTGTCTTCAATGATTAAATATTTTGATTAGATATTTTAAAAGAATGATCTATTTTTATGCTTTAATTCTGTACACAGTTCACACTAAAACTTTTATTGGTAATTCCATATAGAGTACACTCCAAATACAGGCTTTGCTTGGTGTGGGAGAACTGTCTCCCAATTTGGTGTACAATATAATATGCCAGTATGAGCACTGGAGGATGACTTTAGGGACTGCAGTTAATCTTTCAGAACAAAGATAAAAGTGCAAATAGGCAAATATACAGGACATCTGGAGGCCATCTTCCTAGTGCCTTAGAATCGAATCCCGCTCCATGTTTTCCATTTTACTTCATTTTACTATGAAGAGATCACAAGTCAGCTGTGTCCGACATGGACACAGCCACATTCCCAGGCTTTGTTTTCAGATGATGAAATGCTTACATAGATGGAATCTAGATGTGTTGAATATACACATTCATGAGAAACAATTCCAGAATTAGGACCCGGCAGTGCTGTCAGTTTTGTGGTGTTGCATATAAGCTATGGTGGTTGTTCACATCTAAACTACTACACGTGAAGAGCAAAGGAGCAGTATCGGTCATGGGTCCATTCCGGTGGGGAGTGACTGTGTAACTGTTGCTGCCACACCCCGTCATGGTGCCATACCAGCCCAAACCTTGTGAGCTGGGGCAGCTGCAAGAAAAAGACAGAAAGCCACAGGGTAGTGATCCGTTTTAAAAGCTTTCAATGAATTTCGTAGCATAATTGGTATCAAATATGTTGAAGTATGTCAAATAAAACAATGACTTTTTATAAAATGTAATGAATTCGATATAATATCCTTGATTTCATCTCACTTTAGATTACAAAGGGAATAAATAAATACTATTCAGAACTGATAGGATATGATTATTAGATGATCACTTTTAATGTTTATTATGTGCCAGGTACACATATCTCCATATGCAATATCTATGCACATTTGTGTATATACAAGAGAGCTTCAAAAAGTTTGTGGAAAATATAATTAAAAGAATGGAATTTTCCCATACTTTTTTTTAAGCCCTCTCATATGTTTGTATACACATACCGTTAAGACTGATAGTACGAGGCGGGTTTGATTATCGTGTCTATTTTGCAGATGAAAACTAAGGCTCAAAAAACTTGCTCATAAGAGGTTTGGATTATAGAAAATTCTGTATCAAAATGAAAGCTTTAAACAAGTGTGACTATGTGACTTTCACATTAGCTCGATACAGAGTGAATGGTAATCATATGATTTGGGACCCCGGAAGGCATAGGAAGATAACCTTGGGGCACCTAAGCATCCCCCAGTGTTTATTTAGGGGTCTGCTGTAGATTTTCAATAGCCCTAGAGTTAGGAAAAAATATATATAATCACTCTTTCCTTGCCTATCCCCAGCTCTGAGCTTACATGGGATCCTAAAATAAAATGGTACCACTTTGCCCAAAGGCATTGCTTAAATAAAGGTAATTAATATCTAGGATTAGAGATACAAGTAGTTCTTTATAATGTAGGTCCCACCACTGGTTTACCATCTTTTACTCTAAGTTGCAATTTTAAATGATCTTCCTTACTAACATAGGCCATCCAATCACCTTTTTCATATTTTGGTTAAAGCTCGGAATGTGCTTTTCAATCTCTTCCAGTGATGATTAGGTTAAATGATTATATCTACCTTCCTTCTCGTGAATTTCCCAGCCTTGGTAAGTCGTCATCACTATCATACCGTCTTGGATTGTCAAAAAAGTAAGCTCTGGAACTATAACTGTGACTATTTATCATGCCAGCAGGTGCCTGTAAAGAAAGCATCAGGAAGTATGTATGTAAGGGTTTATTTTTCATCTAAGAAAGGCGGTTGGGATGTACATTGATTTCTAGTCTTAAACTTTGCCAAAATGGTAAACTTTCCGTTCCCTGAAAATGAAGGGGAACTTGTGTTGGAAATACTATGATATCATACCAAATTCTGGGTTAGTCTTTGTGCCCGGAAAAACAGTACCACCGACCATGCTGGCACATGTTCCCAGAGGAAGAGGACCATTCCAAATACGATGTATTCTTCTCCACCGATATCTTCTATAGGAGCCTGTAAATCAAAGCATGGCTGAGCAGTGAGGACAGCATTTATGTTAGGCAAAAGCATTCATCCTTGCTTTAGGAAGGGTAAGTTAAAAAATACCAAGTACCAACATACAACCCTCAAAATTTTTCTGAAATTTATGTTTGTTATGTAAATTGTCTTGAAAGGACATAGAAATGCTTTGCTGTTAAGTAAAATAAAAAGTGATTGCACTTTTCAATGCATCAATTTATAAAGATATTTTACTATTTGGAGAATATGTAGTGGTGTCATTTCTAGGCCTCATCGTCTGAAGAGAGTAGTTATAAAGATACTTTTGATTCCAGCTGCTCCATAGGCAGCATATCGGCATTTGTCCACATTGGCACTTTACCCAGCATTACTCCTGTAGAGAAATGAAGTCATTCAGCTCAGCTGCTACTTAAAAATAAGCTTTTGGGTCCAACCTCAATACTGAATGTATTGCTGTTCTATCAGATGTTGGGAAGAGGGAAATGGAAAGGGAATGAAGAAAATCTGGCACAAAGATACTTTGTACTCTATATGAAAATTCTTTCTCCTTAGAAGAGCATTGAAATTCTGGTAAAATGGTATTCCGGGCAGCCTTAAATTTGGTACAAAATTAATTAATATGACTATGTCAACTAAGAAGTAAAATGTGCATATTACAAACAGCATACTGATAATTACTGTCACAAATACCCATATGTCCAAGGAACTATAATTGATCTCATTAATGAGACTGAGAACACCAGATTTACTTATAAGCCATTGTTTAAACTTCTACAACTGAAACAAATATGTATTTCCTGGATAAGGAGAGTTAATTTTATCCCAACAAGTTAAAAACATATCCACATTAACTGGCTAATAACAGGTAACCAATTTAGAGATATTTAAACATCATCCTTTAAAAATTAGTAAAATAGGGTATGAACCCATATCCAGCTATTAGAAGTAGTTACAAATTAAAAACAATATTTCTTTAGAGACTTTAGAGAAAAGGTCTCTAAAGAGTAATTCCAATCATCATATGTGAATAAGCATTTTTTTAAACACTGAGATTTCAGTATGATTAATGAAAGTAGGTTCCATAAAAGTTTAAGTTAAAAAAAATTTTAAAAAATAAAAAAAGAAACAAAAACAAAACAAAGTTTAAGTTAAATACTTAAAAATGCTCTCCTACTTAAGGTCAACTTCACACTGTCACATTGTTAGATTGGCAAAATGTGGTAGGTACTTACTTTATCTGAAAGGTTATCCCAGCCATAATTAAATGGACTTTCTAATGTATCCTGAGATATGGTGATCACCACCAAATTATAACAAGCTCTTGATGAGTAGAGTAGAATGACTACAGAGCCAACAACAACCGTCTGGCACAGGGACACGCCCTAAAAGAAATAAAAATCATCATGAAACCCTACACATGGTGACAAGCTGCCCACCCACATGCATGTAGTACGGTCAACTCTTGCAAAGCACTCTTAGAGGCGCCTGGGAACAGTCAACTCTGGGTATCTGGATTTACAAGTCCTATTCTTAGACTCACTTGTGTTTAAAAGTCCTTTGCTAATTTGTCCAGTGATGGCTGGAGGAAGATTTTGTTCTGCCAAGGTCATCTTACTTCCTTAAGTAATACATGAATAGACAAGTAGGCAAAAGGTCTAAGCTTTATATTAATCAGAAAGGAAATTTAGTCATAATGAGAAAAGGGTGGGGAATAGAAACATTAACCCATGTGATATGTTGAAGCTCAAACAAACTTAGAAATACAGTTCCTATGCTGCTACTTTCATTTGGTCAGAGTTGACGTTAGTTCCTTATTAATGCTATTACAATGATTATGTGAACTAGGTACCCCAAGGCACTTTCCAATCGATAATATTTTGAAAATTTTAATATAATGGCTTTCACAATTTCCCCAAATATGGAAAGTTCTTGTTAATTTTGTGAGAGTATCAAGTGTGTATATTTGAGAGGAGAGCTGTGGTTTGCCTCTTGCAAGTATTCTTCACATGCATTTCAATACAGCTTTTTTGGGTAATCCTATATATTGTATTCATTTAAACCTTATTCAGAGAAGAGACCCATTGCCAAAGAGATCCATGCCAAAAATACTTAACAGGGTATGTTTTGATTTTCTAGTGCTAGTGTAACAGCAATACTCTAAGTGGGTTATTCAAAGAACAGACATTTCATTTCTCAGGTTAGGAGGCAAGAAGTCAGAATTCAGTGCACTAGCTCTAGGGAAGGCTCTCTTTGTTGCTCTGGGAGAATAGCGATGTCTTACCTTCTCTATCCCTAGTATTCATTGGTTCCTTGGTGATCTCCACATGGAATTGTCTTTCCCTTATTTGAGCTCACTAGTCCCAGTGTATAAACTGCTCTTTTTTATAATTTACAATAGGCTAAAACACAGGAGCCCTAGTTCCACAATGGTTACTCATTGAGCTGCTAGTCACAAGATCAGCAGTTGGAAATGACCAGCAGCTCTGTGGAAGAGGCTTTCTACTACATTCTTAATGGTCTCGGAAACTCACAAAGGCAGGTCTATTCTGCCCTATAGAGTCACTGAGTCAGAATTGATTCAATAGCAGTGAGTTTTTGAGGTTGAAACCACATCTTACATGTCCTCATTAACATATGAAATACAGCCCTATTTCCTGTTCCCAAATGGGATTACATCTACATATATAAAGGTTAGGATTTCAACACAATACAATCAGGGTGGTCTGGAAATTTGCGTTTTATTTTTCAAAATGCAAAAGGGGCGGTGATGGCATTCAGTGCACAAGTCTAAAGATACTAAGTCACATAGTCAGCGAGTCCATTCTAACTAATAGCAACCATGTATGACAGAGCAGAACTGCCCCGTAAGATTTCCAAGGCTATAAATGTTTACAGAAGCAGACTGCCACAACATTTTTCCATGCTAGTTTGTTCAACTGCTGATATTTGGTTAGGAGGTGGGCAGTCCAACTACTACATGATTAAAGTAGACCTTCACTGTGGGTTTCAAAGATCGTAAATCTTCATGGGAGTAGAAAGCCTCCTTTCTCCTGCAGATCATCTATGGTGGTTTCAAACTGCTGACCTTGAGGTTAGTAGCTCAATGTGTAACCACTATGCCACCAGGGCTCCTTGGCTTTAGCCTGTAACTTATGAAATATAAAAGAGCAGATTAGACACAGGGACAAGTGACTCGATAGGGCTGAGTAGAACTGCCCAGCTGAGTTTCCAAGACAGTAAAACTTTATGGGAGTAGAAAGTCTCATCTTTCTCCTGAGGTGATTTCAATCTGCTGACCTTGCATATAATCGACTAGGCTACCAGGTCTCCGATTTAGAGATACTAAGTAACCTGCAATTCACAGAAGAATCCTTCACATGGAATTTCCTATAATCTCCAGAATGTCAAATGTCCTAATGAATATTCATGTAGGTGAAAAATCTGTGTATATGAGTATTTTCTGAGTCAGAGTCTGTTTTACATATAAATAAGGCATATGTTTACATGTAAATCAACAACAGAATTTTCAGCAGTATTTTTAACATGTAGACTGAGGGAAATGTGTATCTTGTTTTGTTCAAAGTTTGGGCAAGAATTGTTCAAATATTTCAGAAAATTATGACACTCACAGTAACGCTCTTTGTAGTACTGAAGCTACCAATGCAACAAACCCATCTGTAACATGTGGTCTTCATCAGCAAGTGCTTCAAATCCTGTTCACTTTCCACAAGCAAGGTTGTAGCATCTGCATATTGCAGGTTAAGCCTTTTTCCAGTCCTGATGCCACATTCTTCTTCATATAACCACGTTCTCTGATGATTTTCTCAGCAGATGGAGTAAGAATGATGGTAGGACACAACCCCGAGGCACACCTTCCCTGATTTTAAACCATGCAGTATTCCCATGCTCTGTCCACACAACTGCCTCTTGATCTGTGTACAGGCTTCCCATAAGGACAATGAGGGGTTCTGGGATTCCCTTTTCTTTGGAATAAGTACAAATATGGATCTTTTCCAGTCAGCTGGCCAAATAACTGTCTTCTGAATTTCCTGATATAGACAGTGAGTGCTTCCAGTGCTTCATGAGCTTGTTGAAACACTTCAGTTGGTATTCCATCAATTCCTGGGGCCTTGTTTTGAACTCATGCTCTCAGTGCAGCTTGAAGGAAGAAACCATTGGCTCTTGTTCCTATGCTCCCCTCTGAAAAGGTGGAATGTACACTAGTTTTTTGTTTCTTTTAAATAAATCATTTTATTGGGAGCTCTTATAATAATGCACACAGCAATTGTATCAAGCACATTTGTTCATATGTTGCCATCATCTTTAAAACCTACTTCAGCCTGTGTTAACAGCTCTTTCCACCCACCCCTATCTCACCCTCGTGAACCCTTGATAAATTATAAATTTTTTTTATTTTCATATCTTACATCATCTGCTGTCTCCCTTTACCCATGTTTTGACTAGTGCTTTTGTACAGTGACTCTGTATTCTTTCCATCTGCTTTTTTTTTTTTTTTCCTTTTTTAACATTTTATTAGGGGCTCATACAACTGTTATCCCAATCCATACACACATCAATTGTGTAAAGCGCATTTGTACATCGTTTCTTAAAACATTTTCTCTCCATTTAAACCCCCGACATTAGGTCCTCATTTTCCCCCTCCTCCATCTGCTTTTGATGCTTCCTGGATCATTCAATATTTTGCCCATAGAGTCTTTCAATATTGCAATTCTGGGTTTGCATTTTTTCCCTTAAGTTCTTTCAGTTTAGGATGTTCTGGTGTATTCTTCCTTTTTTGTTTTCTAACTCTAGGTCTTTACACATTTCATTAAAACATTGTGTCTTGTCTTCTAGAGCTGCCCTTTGAAATTGTCTGTTCAGCTCTTGGATTTCATAATTTTCCTCATGTGCCTTAGCTAATCAACGATTAATAGCAAGTTTCAGGGTCTCTTCTGACACCCACTTTGATTGTTTATTATTTTTCTGTCTTTTAGTGACTTTTTGCATTCTTCATGAATGATGCTCTAGATGTCCTCCCACAGCTTATCAGGTCTTCTCTCATTAGTGTTCAATGCATCAAATCTGCCCTTGAGATGTTCCAAAAATTTTAATGGAGTATACTCAAGGTCATATTTTAACTCTTGTGGACTTTTCTTCGGCTTCAACATGAACATATGGGCAATTGGTGGTCATTTCCACAGTTCAGCCTCTGGCTTAGTTTTAGCTGCTGATATTGAGCTTCTCCATTATCTCTTCCCACAGATGTGGTCAATTTGTTTACTGTGTATTTCATATAGAGCTGTCCACATGTATAGTCTGACATGTGTTACTGAAAACTTGCTATGAACAAGTTGTTGGTGTTCCAAATTCTATCATGAGATCTCTAGCTTTGTTTCTGTCATTGAGGCCATATTTTCCAACTACTGTTCTTTCCTTTTTGTTTCCAACTTTGGCAATCCAATCACCAATAATTATCCAAACCCCAAACCAAATTCACTGTCATCGAGTCTGTTAGTCTGGGTAGACTAGAGAAACAAATTCATGGACACACATATGTGTATAGGAAAGAGCTTTGTATACAAGAGCAATTGAATATTGAGAAAACATCCCAGCCCAGTTCAGATCAAGTCCATAAGTTTGAGATTAGCTCCTATATCTGGTACCTATCTAAATTCCTCTCAGATTCATGCAACACATGCAATAACCCTGAAGGCAAGAAGATCACAGGCCAGTGGGTGGAAAGTCTTGTGGATCCAGTGGCGTTGTAAGCATCTCAGTGCTGGCAGGGGTCTCCATGTGGCTTCTGCAGCTCCCAGGACTGCATCAGACTAGGTCTATGTGGCTTCTCCTCGGGCAGTGATCAGAAAGAGAAGGTGTCTCCCACCTCCAATGAGGAATTATGGGAGTTCCCAGAAACCTCAGGAGAAGGCCATGCTCACACAGAGGGCTTGTTGGCTATATTCTGATTGACAGGCTAGACTCTACTCCTACACTCTTAATCCTTAAATTGACACCAGATTATGTAACTACGACAGAGCCATGCTGATTTATAGTGACCTCCTATGAGTTTCCAAGACTATAACCATTTATAGGAATAGAAAGCCCAGTCTTTCTCCTGAGGAACTGCTGGTGGTTTTGAACTGCTGACCAATGCCTAACCACTACAGCACCAGGCTTCCCTATCATCAATGCATCCTAATTGCATGTTTGGTCAGTTTCATACAGAAGATGTTGGTAGAATTCTTCAATTTCTTCAGCAGTAACTTTAGAAGTTGTTAAAGTTGAATAATAGTTGTATAGATTGGATTTCCTTGATTTCAGATATATATAATTCTCTCACAGACAGCATTGTACTTCAAGATAGATCTTGAAATGTCCTTTT